TGGGACAGGCTGTCTTCTTCTTCAGATCTTGAAGAGCTAGCAGAGGATAGAAGAAGCCATTCTGTTCCTTTCTGGCTTTTTTTTTTCTTTTTTTCCCATAGTAGAAGACATTTATTATCTCCAAGTCATTTCTGCAAAGCAGGGCCAGCATTTGCAACTTTTATTCCCTCTTTGGCATCCCTTGCTCTTTTCTCATCTGTGAGGTGCAATGTCTGATTTTGCGGGTACACAGCCAGCAAGCCAACAAGCAGCACAGTGGATTAGATTTACAGCCCACTTGTTAACTTAAAAAGCAACAAGTAAATTAAAACGAAGCATTGGCTAGGCAGATTTGTAAGAGGGTGCCTGGTCTGGGATGTGCCCAAAGAGATTTGCAGAATTGAAACTGACTTTCAGTGCCTTTAAATGCAGAGACTCCCAGTGGACAGGTAGAGGGTAAATGTTCAATAATGAACAGCTGTAAAACTTCTGCCATGACTGGCCTCAGTATGGCAGTGCTGCACAGAAATCTGTCTGTTGACTTGTTTAGTTGGCTTGGTGTCCATCCTGGGAGAGATACAAGGTGATGGGAGGAAGCAGAGGACACAGAGAAAGCTCCTTCAGTTATTCTGTGGAAGGAGTGTCAGAGCCTCCCTCGTGGTGAACGTGCTGGAAAACCACTGCATATCCCTTTCACTTGACGCCTGAGCTTTTGTTGAAACTGTGGTGGTGTGATGTGATGTACTGATGGGGTCAAGCCCCTCGAGTTCCTCACCTCTGGTAAGTTTCTGAAGGCTTCACAGTCAGGTCCCCCAAACCACCTCTCTGTACTGGAGCATAGGAACCATGAAGATCAGATTGTTTTCTGCAGGACACAGCTGCATCTCTGGGTAACACCTGTAGCCTTGATGCCTAGACCTGCTTTAGGTCTTAGCTCAGTGAAAGCTTGTGCCGAGAATCTTGGTCCTTGTTTCTGTGGGCAAGGCCTCCATGCTGCTTCCCAGCATGCGCAGGCAGGGGAGATGATGTGCCTTCTGCCCTCACCCACATCTTCATCCCTTCCCTGCAAGACAAAGGTAGGATGCTGGTGTCCACCAGGGCTGGCTGCTTGCTCTCCCCGCTTCCTGCACAAGGCTGGCAGATGTTTCTTGTTTGCTGGAGCTGTGTGGCTCTGGCTACTGGGCTGGGAGCAGCTGCTGCTGCCAGGCGGAAGCACTCGGCGAGTCTTTCCTAGACAGCTTTGAATGGGAGCCAGGAGCCCTCTCACTACAGGAGAAAATCCACGAGGTCAGGAAATACAGCAGCAGCAGCTCCGGCTCCATGCTGGGGCTGTTGGCTTGGCATGTGAATTCCAGCTCTCCTCTTTCCAGATGATGCTCCTGAGTGGCTCTCCTCCTTGCCATCTCACTCAGCTGTTGCTTGACAGCCCTTTGTGGCTTTTGGGGTGTGCAGTAGCTGAGTACTGACTGCAGAGGTGATAAATTTGGATAGGCAGGGGAAACACTAAGTGGTGACCTGGATCAGACCTTTCAGATCTGCCGAAGAATGGAAGAAGCTGCAGAAGATGGAAGAAGCTCTGTTCCTGCTCTGTGTGGAACTGGGAGGCTGTGCTTTTGTGTTTCCCTCTGTTATTTTGTGGTCAGCTCTATGTGGGCTCTGTCTTAGCTGCTGAGTAATAGAAACTAGAAATCCTCACATGAGGAGAAGCTTTCACAACCACCAACAGTCTGTAAATGTCCATCTGGTGTGTCCCCAGCATGAGAATTTGGGGTGTCTGTTACAGTTGCTCTGACAGGAGCCCCATGCTCTCTTCTCTGCTTCTGGTTTTTAGGAAGCCAGAAACATTGTCTTTGGGATGGCTGTTCCACCCCCCCTGTGGTGGGGGTGGTGATGTTCATGTGGCATTGAGGTACAACCACGCCTTTGTTGAAACCATGTGTGCATTGATGAGAAGCCTTGTTCTTCCCATGTTGAGGAATAAAAAGTGTGATGGGGAGCTGTGAGATGGTGTTGGTAAGGTCAGCTTAAGGATAAGATTGGCTGCCCAATCTTAGCAGAGTTTGGCCATATGGAAATTCCTGCTTTCCTTACAGCCTTTGGTCAGGTTGCTTCTTTTGTGGCATTTGCACATGTTCTGATGTGCAGTTGGGTGTGCGTGCTGCTTGTGAGGAGTTTGCATTGTGGATCCTTTGGGAAAGGAAGCAAGCTCATCTGAACATTGATTTTAACACATGTTAATTCGGGCAGCTCTCATGCCCAGAGCTGTCCATCATTCCCCACGCTCTCGCTCTGCATTAGGACATGTTTTGCAGCAATGGTAGGAAATGGGTGGGTAGGCTGGACTTGCTATCCTCTGCAAGCTGCAGAATCTCTTCTGCCATTGTTGGGGCAGGGATGGCATGCAGAGCAGTGAAGAGTTAGCTGAGACTGGCACCTTCTAGGTATGGCATGAGCAAACACCAACTGTTGCAGAGTTCTTGTATGTAAATTGTCTGTCTGCTGGCCATGAGTAATGCATTAGCAATAGATCCTTTGCCCCTCTCATTTCCCCTGCCTCTTGGGTGGGTGTGGAGCAGGAAGATGTGGGTCTGTGTTTCTCTGGAGGAGCCAGATCTCAAAGCTCTGGGCTATGGTGGTGATGTGCAGGGCTTGCTGGTGTGCGGCTGCCCCTCTGCTGTGCAGTGGAGCTCACCTGTGGTCCTGAGCAGAGTAAGACCCTTAAGCTGACATGGGTGACCACGTGGCCCCCACCTCCTGCTGCAGTGTGGACCAGAAGGCTGGTGTGGCTGCATGGGCTAGGGGTCTTCTGAAGGGATAGGCAATGCCTTCTGCTGTGCTGGTCTTGAGGGAGGACCTTCTCCTTGAGAACTCATGTCTTCTCCTCCCTATATTGAGTCAAGGCTTTTCTCACTGCCTTATAGCAAGTCCTATAGGCCTGGGCAGTTGTGTAGTCCTTCTTGAGCATCATAGTGGCAACTGCTTCATCATCAGCATCAGAGATACAGAGCAAGGTCCATTGCAGACCACTGCAGGCCTTTATTTACAGCCACCATGTGTTTTGCTGGGGGTTGCAGATCTCCCTGCTCTGTAATGAAAGATGGGAGCTGGTTGCAGAGTTTCTTCAGACCTTCAAGACCCCTCTGTGTTCAGCAGTGAAGCTGTTTGCTGCAGGAGCTGTCCCCTCCTGGCCAGCAGTGTTGGTGGAGATGGTCAGTCAGCATTTGTTCCTCAGTCCCCGTTTTATCCTGTCACCGTCCCTCATGATAATTGTCTCTGCCCAGAGAGATAAGAAGCCTGGGGTGGGCATCTCTCTTGTCCCTGAGAAGCAGAGTATGTGAGGTCACAGATGTGAGGGTGTGCATTAATGGAGCAGAGCAATGTATGCGCTTAGGTTCTTTCCTGTAGTCTTGTTTTCAGTCTGCATCTCTTCCTTGGCTGCCAGAACAGAGGCAGATCAGACTTTTCCAGGAAAAAGTGGCACATTTGGGTAGGCACTTAGAGTATGACATTATTTACACTTCATTTTCCCCCTCCCATCACCACTTTTCCATGGTGTTTTACTGCTTCTCCAGCAGTGAAGAGCAGCACAGCAACCAGAGGTCCTGGTTAGGGTTAGGGTGGCATCATGTTTGTTATTTGGTTGCTCCTTGGCACCCCCTCCTTTGTCTCTCTTTAGTATCCTGGGTGCTGAGAAGGGCATGAACTTTGTTTGCCTTCCAACTACTGAGACAGCAGCTCAGAAATGGGCTTCGGGAAGAGGTGTTTGTGTCCGACTGCTCCCAGCTCGAGTGGGTGATGGAGCTGTCAGAGTCGTTTAGAGTTGCAGTCAGGTGGGGATTGAAGGCAAAAGGTTCTGGCCTCCTTGCCATTAGATTTCTGCTGTGTTAGCAAATGCATTAAATTCAGTCTGGGTCTAGAGTGGCCGTTGCTGGCACAGTTCGTACCAGCTTCCAGAGTTTTGGGAGCAGGGCTGGCAAGCCTTGGGAGGAGGATTGAGTGATTTAACTGTCTGGGGTGGGGGCAAGGAGCATGTTCTAATCCATGTGCAGTAGCGTTGCAGGCAGCATTGAAGGCTGACTGTCATGGGGAACTGAGAGCTTGTCTTTCTGCTACCTGCTGCATTTTGGGTGCTTTCCCCAGAGCTTGCAGATGGCAGCTGAGAATGAGTGTTGGACCCTGGAGTGACTTTCAGAGGGCAGGGCCTGCAGTCCAATGAGGATGGATTTCTATTTAAACCTTTGAGGTTTTGTAATCTTCCTGCAATAGTTCCTCTTTCTCAGTGGGCTTGGAGCAGAAGTTTAAGGGAGGAGCTGGGGGGATGTGAATTTTCTCCTGCTGACGGGCTGTGGCCAGTACACAGTACTGCAGAAGTGTAGTTTGCTCATCATGGCCCTAGTCATCATTTCTCAGTTAGAGCTTTTCATGGCAGCAGCTCTTTATTCCCTGTTGGGCATGCCAACTTCATCTCTCGGGAGCAGGGGTGCCCCTTCTGCCGGCCTCCATCTCTGATGGCCAGCACAGTGGGAGGCACCGTTAGCTGGAGGATGGGCAGAGGGTGTGGATGTGCCACTGTCTCAAACCTGCCATGTGGTTTGAGGTTTAATGCAGCCTTGAGGGTGTAAGACATGGCAGTAACAGCATATTTGGGTGGGGCTGGATGTTTTTCCCTGCTCCTGTGGGAATTGACATCCCAACCTCATTGTCCAAGGGTTTCAAATCTATCAAATGATTGTCATCTTGAGGTAAGATAAATCAGGGACAACACTGAACACTTCTGCAAAACCAGACCTCTTAAATTGATTACTTTAGGAATTGATTTACACAGCATGTACCTCTGTCTTCTCATCAGGAACACCTCTTGAAGTTTGCTCAAGGAATCTGTGAAGTTTGCATTCAGACTGTCAGGCTGAAGGATTGCAACATGCCACAAGATAAACACAGTTTTTTATTCAGTTTGGTGGATTATTTTGCCCATGTTAAAGTAACTTCTCCTAACATGGTGACTGTGTTTCTCCTTGCAGGTGGTGGTGCTCCTGGAAGTCCTGAGCTGGGGTCAGCTGGAAGATGACTGAATACAAGCTGGTGGTGGTGGGAGCAGGTGGTGTTGGGAAAAGTGCTTTGACGATACAGCTCATTCAGAACCATTTTGTTGATGAGTATGACCCCACGATAGAGGTAAGTGGCTCTGGGCACAGGGTCTGTCTTGTCTGCATGTTTTCCTCTTGCTGTTTTCCACCTTGTCTCCAACCCAGAGCATACTCAGTTTGGTCTCAAGTCTGAACTTGATTAGGAATGTTCGTCTGCTTTGCAGAGCTATTCTGAGTCACTACATGTGTGTTGAGAGGTCACAGTGACCGACTTGTGTCTCCTGCAGAAGGACAGTGATGTCTGCTGAAGAGAGATGACACAGGAGGCAGCAGAAGCAGGCAGAGCTGGGCAGGTGCTGAGAGGCAGCAAAAAAGTCCTCTTTTCTGATGAGATGACAGCATAGGGAGGGATTAAAGGTTTGGGATTGAAGAGCCATTTTGTGCCTGTGGTTCCATTTCTCCTGTCAAATCAGAGTAAATATATTGACTTTTTCTGCAGGATATTTTGAGATTTACTGATGAAATGGATTTTACCAGAGCTTGGTTGTATTATGTATGTCCTGCAGTTTAAGATGTGCCAAGCAGCTGAACTGTTGTGGTTCACAGAGTTCTGCCTCTGCTTCATCACCAGGAGTTAGAGGTTGATGTGTGGGTTTTGCAGTCAATGTGGATGGTAGCACTGACCTGTCTAGCTCAGCAAACTTCCTGAGGAAGCAAGCAGGGACCCTGTGGTCTTCACAGGCTGTATGGGGGTAGAGGGGGATCTGGTCTTCAATATCCATTACACTATTTTTTTTTTTACTTTTTAAAAACATATTCCATTCTCTGTCTGCTATCACTGCAGCTAGTGGCATGTTAATTAGCCTCTATGTGACTTGCACCTTTGCTGGGGGAGATGTGGGTAGCAGCTGCTGCTCTGCACGAGGAGTAAGTCCATCCTGGGAAGGCAAATTGCAGCTCTGTCATGTCTCTTGGACAATGACCTCCCTGTCTGCAGTCCTAAAGAATTCTGTGGTTGCTGCAGTTATTATTATCATAATGGCTAAAGGCCCCAGCTGGGACCAGAAATCTATTCTGGTAGGTGTTGTATGTGTAGTCCCCACCCTGAAGAGCTTACAACTTAAATAAACAAGCAAGACAAGGCTTGGTAGAAAGGTTGAAATAGTCTTACAATCCTACAGACAGGAAGGAGAGAAAGCACTTGAAAAGCACATGCTATTATGTCATTTGGCCAAGGTCACCTAGAAAGTCCATGGCAAATTTAGTCCAAATTTAATTTAAGGGCTCCTGAGTCTCCTTGCTTATGGATGCAGTTGCCTTGTTCTCCAGCTCCTTTCTCCTCATGTGCTCATCCCCAGTAGCACTGTATACTTTTCTTAGAAACCCATTCCAGGTTGTTTTCGGCAAGAGCTGCTGATGGAGAGCAGCCTCCCTGGGGAGACATGTGCATGGATGAGTCCTCTCTTGGACCTTAGGTGGGCAGAGGCAGCTTTCACCCTGTGATGTGTTGGGTTTTGGCATCCTGTGTTTTTTGTCTCCAGCTGCCTGCCCCTTGTATGTACCCTGCAGGGAATTTTCTCCATGTAAACAGGCAGTGGGGAATGTAAACCTTGCATGGCATTTCCCAGCACACCCTCCTCACCCTACCCACTCCTGCAGTGCCCCGGGAGATGCCTACTCTCTCCTCCCCTGTTCCCTCCAGCCTCATTCTGTTCTTCTCCTCTTCCAAAAGCTCTTTAGCCCTCTTGCCCCTGGTACTTTTCCACCTGCAGGTCCCACCAACCCTGATGCCTTTGCAGCTCCCTTGGTTATACCTCCCTTCCCCTGCTACTCTAGCCATCTTCTCATACATTTTAGGAGAGTTCTTTTAATTATGCTTCATTTTATGGGGATTTAGGACACACAGAAAGCTACCTGCCAGCCATCCAAATGTGACCAACAAACCACCCTCCTGTGACTAAGCTGCTTTGGATCGTGCCCAGGAGCTGACTATGACTGTTCAGCCAGCTAACAAGCAGCACAGCAATGCTGAAATGAGCAGGATAAAAGGGGGCAAAAAAGAGTATATGTGCATGGAGCAAAGGCATTGCCTGTCACCCAAATGGACTGAGCTCAGGCTGTGCTGCAAAGGGCGGTTGTGAGTGGGTCAAGGTGCACCGAGAAGATGCTCCCCAGGGCAGGAGTGTTTTGTCCCCTGTCTGGGGCAGAGACCCTGACTGGATGCCTGCTCCCCTCCTGCCCTCCTGACTCACTATTGCAAACGTTTGGCCCTGTAACTCAACACTGTCCAACCCACGACAGCACATGCTCTCATGCCTACTCTTTTACTGCTGAGAAACCTTAAGACCTTGATTTTGGGAACAGGAGGGCCGGGGCTCCAAGGAAATGTATGCTACTGGCATTGTCCCATGGTGAATAAGCAGGGATGGAGTAAAGAATTTCACTGTGTTGAGAAATTCTTTGGTTCGTCTTCCAGCTTCTAGCAGCTGGCTAGTAGTGGGCTTCCCAAGCCTCTGATCATATCCTGACTGTAGCGTTTGACAAGTGGACGTCTTGGCCTGGACCCCCAGCACATCCGGGATGCTCCCAGCATCTGCCTGGGATCCTGAGTCTGAACGCCAGACAGATGTTGTTTCTGCTGCCTGGCACTTCACAGCTGCATCTGGCTGCTTTCCCCTCTGCATGATGGTAGGGTAGGATATGAGGGGCTGCAGAGGAGCATTGAGGCAGGGTGCTGATGTGGGCTGGTGGCAGCTACCCCTGCAGTGGCAGCCAGGTCACCTGGCAGTGTGGCTGAACTGCCATCCTGAGACAGGGTTTGGATGAAGCTGCACACAAAGCAATGATGGGGAGAGCTTGTCCCCTTCCTTTGCAGGAAGCAAAGCATCCTCTGCAAGGCAGTTAATGCTTTTGCCTTGTAAACAAGCTAGCTGGCCTCACGGGCAGCCTGTTGATGACCTGAGCTGAAGTGTGGGATCTCTCCTCCATCTGCATGCTGTATGCTTGAGAGACCTCCTGTAACTGGGGACTTGGCAATTAATTGTGAACACATGTGCCAAGAGGCTGGTCCTCTGTATGCAAGCCAAGGTGCAGGGGTGGGAGGATGCTTTGCTGGGCAGAGCAGGCACTAGGGTCCCCTTGCACCAAGGAGGCTCCAGATACATTATTGATTAGAAACGGGAGCACATTCCTGCAGGGCAGCCTGCCAGTTGCCTTCAGAGTGGTTGGCTGGAAGCCAGCCCATCACTTGGTGCTTATTCTCGATGGGTCAGCAGTCCACTTTTTGGGAAGGCACAGCTGAGAAGGTCGTGGCAGAGCAGATCTCATCTCTGATTTCACAGCCCTCTCTACAAGGTGAGGAAAGACTTTAATTAGTCCCAGCAAATGATGTTGTTTAGTAATGAACCAAAGGATGGAGGCTGTGTTGGCCCCATTCCATTCCTGTGCTGCTGTTGGTCCTGTTGTGACCTTTGCTGTGTCGGCTGTTTGTCTGCAGACCTGCAAAGCTCATCTGATAACATTGTTGTGGTCACTGGAAGAGCAGCCGACATTTGAATTAATTTTAAACTGCAGCCGTAGCCTCTGCGAGTGGTTGCAAAGCACTGTTGTGGTCATACCGCTGACTTGCACCTTTTTCGTATCTTTCATTTTGGCTTCTTTCTCTTGCTGGGGGTTGAGGATGCTGCACTGTCCACAGGGGATGGCTGTTAGAGAGGGAGGAGGCTGTCCTCCATGCAGGGGCTGCCCCAGCAGCATCCCTGCCGATGGGACTGAGCACGGGGAGAGGCATGGTGGGAAGGAGCAGTGCTTTGAGAAGCCTGCCTTCAAAATGAAACCTTTTGAGGGATGCCCTAGGTGATTTCCAGGCCTCCTCATCTGTGATAAGTTGTGATTGCCTCTGCTGCAGGGAAAACTCCCAACTTGAAAGGACCTGCCTGGATAGTTCTTGCCTCTCCTGGAGCCCTCTGGGCACAGACTGGTTGTGGGAAACACCCGGCTCACAGCATGATTTTATTTTATTTTTTTTCTCATGTTTAAGGAAGAGGTTTACCATCAAACCCAGTCTGCAACCTTACTGGTGGCATATTGCCTCCAGTGCCTGATCTAAGATGCATTGGAGGCACTGGATTTCCAGGTCATTTTAAACACCTTCTAGTCCTGCAGATTACAGATGGTGACTGGAAGCCCTGGCTGGCTGGAGCCTCCTCTCCTGAGTGTCCCCTTCCAGCACCCAAGCAGGGTGGCAGCAGAAGGGATTAGAACTGGGACTAAATAATGCTTAGGAAATAGTTGCCGAGGGTTGTGCAGTGTGGTAGAGATGAAGCTGCGCCTGGTCTGGCAGAGGCAGGGCTGGGAATGTGGAGAGCAAGCCAGGAGCTGTCTTCTCTGTGGCTCAAACAGACCAGGAGAAACCTGCTTAGCTACTCCCTTTTTCCTTTGTGTTTTTTTTGGTTTGGTTTGGTTTGGGTTTTTTTGTGGGTTTTTTTTGGTTGTTTTTTTTTTTTTTTTTTTTTTTTTTTTTTTTTTTTTTTTTAATTATTATTTTTCCTTTTCCTCTCGTTTTTGAAACAGATTGAGTTGTCTCTTTAATGGAAACTAAACGCAGGCCGAGCGTGACCTGGCATCTTCCCAGGGATGCACTTGCTGCATCCCTTTGTTTAGCCAGACCCAAGCCCTCTCTTAATGCATCCTCCTCCCTTTTCTCCCTCTTGTGGCCTTCAGGATTCCTACAGAAAGCAAGTAGTCATTGATGGAGAGACCTGCTTGTTAGACATCTTGGACACCGCAGGGCAAGAGGAGTACAGTGCCATGAGAGACCAGTACATGAGAACAGGGGAAGGATTCCTGTGTGTCTTTGCCATCAACAACACCAAGTCCTTTGAAGATATTCACCAGTACAGGTCAGTATCCTGGGAACGGCCCTTTCCCTCTTGCCCTGTGCAAAGGGGAGGCCTTGCCTCTGCACCCTCCTGCCCACCCTTTTAGATCAGGCCCAGTGGTGGAAGCACTGGCTGCCAGCAAAGACAATTAGCTCAAGTGGCCATTCCCCAGGGAAGAGACGGAGCAGACGGCTAATGTCAGTGACTCCAATAAAGCCCATCTGAAGGGATTCCTTGTGGCCTTTGGGGACTCGGTAATGTAATGTTTAAGTGTTTATGGTGACTAAAGAGAGAGCTGATCCTGTATGACCCCCTCCCTTCCCTCCCTAATTAGTGGAATTGCTTTGTTAGCGCAATCAATCTCAGGGACTTCTGCTGGGCCCTGGAGCTGGGAGAGGAGGCTGAGACGGGCAGGGAGGGCTGCTTGCTCTGCTGTCTGCCGTTGTGATGAGGCTGTAGTCTGCCAGCTGCACACATGCAGGGAAAAGCAGTCCTGCCCCTTTGGAGCTTGGTTTCAACCAGGGCAAAGACTGAGCAGGAGGGGAATCAGGACCCCAACGAGGTAATTTGCCCAAGACAATGTATGGGGAAGCGGCGACAAAGCAGGGACCTCATCCCGACATGGTCCTGCTTTGGCAGCACCTGAGTAACTCATCCCACTTCTTCTCCTTGCTGACATCACCCCTGTAGAGCTGGAGAGGTAAGGAGGTGATACAAACACAGCAGGAATCTTTCCTGTTTATCCCGATGCTTAGGGAGGGATCACTCTGCCTTGTGCCTTTTTCTGAGGCTTGGCTGTGATGGGAGGCACTTGCAGAGGATGCAAGAGATGGCTCTGCCTGTCCCTGCTCTGTCCACTGCCCACCAAGGGACTGTGTACCCCAGTCCCCCACCATAAACTGCCGTTCCAGTAATCCTGTTGTTCCAAGCACAGGCACAGCCCTTCCTTGCTCCATAGTCCAGAGGTGCTGCTCTGAGCTGTTTCAGTCTCAGTGAGCAGGCTGTTCAGTGTAATAGCTGCACAGGTGGACTAATTTGGCTTGTTTTAGCTAAACTGGAGGACAAAGGATGGGATTTTCCTAAAGCACCTGAGGGATTAAGCAACATTCATCCTTGTGCTGGGACTGGTGCCTGAGAATTGCTTGCAGGATGGCACTATTTCAAGTCATCATGATCGTGGTTTAAATCACTGGCTTTCATCTCCTTCAGCCTCTGCTCTTTGTGTTTGCACTTTTAAAGAATATTCCCCAGAGAAATGCTGGCTCTTCCTGGTTAGTAACCATTTGTAGATATCTCTTTTCAGCTAAGTGTAGCCTGTGCACTAAATTTAGTACTTGCATTTGCTGATCAGGATGTTACATGGAACATTTAAATGGCTTTATGGCATATCATGCATATAGTTAGACTTCATTTCTATGTTCTACTTCATTAAAAAAAGATAATTGATTCTTTTGTATGTGATACATGTCCAGCTGCCTTTGGATGGAAATTTGCATTAAATTAAAATGCAGAAATTGGCATTTTAAATAATGCTTTTATTAGTTTAATAAAACCATGTTAAATGTTCTTGATGCATGAGCAAAAAAAAAAAGCTAAAGTTAAATGATTTATTAAGCAAAGGAAGTTATTATCTATCAGAAGGGAATTGAATGGATTGTTTGTGGTCATAATGGACTTTAAGAGTTTTAGAAGTGGTAGATCTCATCCTCGCCCACCTAGTTTTAGATCCAAGGTTGGAATGAAGAAGTGAGCATTACAGTTTTTTTAGTTCCCAATTGGTTTCTCAACTTTGAATGACCTGAACTAAACTGAGAGGGAGCAAATACTGCCTGTGCATCTGCAGAAAAGGTTACAGCTGCCAAAAGCTGCTCTATCAGCTCAGCAAATTCTGGTTGCAGTTGATTTTTTATTGTTTTTATCCCCATTTTGGGGAGATTACTTGATCTAAAATGTTGGAAGTAGTACAGGTAACTGCTCGAGAATTCATTTTTATTTAGCTTAAACTATCTTAAGGTCATTTCTTAATACAGTTTATCATAATTCAAGTTGTTTTGTAAATAATTGCAGTTAAAGAGCAGAAGTATGTTTAGTTTTCATTTCCAAAAGTGCCCTAGCTATTTGGCTTTTTATTCACTTGTGTGCCATAGTCATTTACATTTTCCTGAAAGCCCAACACAAAGCACTTGACAGGAGCAAGGCGTAGCTGTTGATTCTTGACAAAGAACCTGGTGGGGATTGTTGTGGAGCTGCCCCTGATGCCTTTTCTCCCTTCACTTTGTCACTTCTTCCTGTTTCAGGGAGCAGATCAAGAGGGTGAAAGACTCAGATGATGTTCCTATGGTGCTGGTAGGGAATAAATGCGACCTACCAGCCCGGACAGTGGAGACTCGGCAAGCGCAGGACCTGGCCCGGAGTTATGGGATCCCCTACATAGAAACATCTGCCAAAACCAGACAGGTAGGAGGAGGGTTTTAAACAAAATGTTCTTCTTGTTTTCTTTTCACTATTGCTGCCCTGGAATGGCAGGAACAGGCAGACACCAGCTTGCAGACAGATGGGTGCAAGGGCTGGGGTTAGTTGCTTCTTCAAGGCTAAGTGCTCCATCAGGATGTTCTCTCCCCAGTCTGGGCTTGAGCCTCCAACCTGGAGAAATGCGTAATTCATGCTCTGGCAGCAGTGATACTTTCTAAGGCCTTTCTCCCAGGCTCTGAAATAACCCCCCTAAGTCACTGCAGGTCAGCTAAGCTCGGGGGCCTTGGCTAACCTCATCTGTCGTCTATTTTGGCAGACCTACAGGCAGAATATACCAGTGCTGGAAGGACCATGTGGGGCTCCCAGAGCACAAAGGTGGAAATGGAAAAGCTGACACCTTCAGTGGTCCAGTGGTGGCTTTTCTCTTGGTGGTAGACCTCATTCAGACTGCTGAAAGCTGATGAAACTCAGGGACTTGAGAGCTCTTTGGCCTCGTGGTTGCTCATTCAATCTTGCTCTCTGTTCGAGGGCCACACTAAGTCCTTGTTAAGTCTCCCCAGCTTGGTTTTCTGCCTTTAACTCTGCAATTTGCACTGCTGGAAGACAGAGCTAGGAACACCTTACTGGGGAGCAGAGCCCTCTCTTCTCTCCACTATCCCCTCTCAGAGTGGGCAGCTGCTTAGAGTGATGCTTTTTTCCCCAGGGCGTTGAGGATGCCTTCTACACCTTGGTGCGGGAAATCCGTCAGCATAAACTGCGCAAGCTGAATCCCCCAGATGAGAGTGGCCCTGGCTGCATGAACTGTAAATGTGTGGTATCATGACTATGGTGAGTTGTGGAAGCAGGAGATGTGGTGCAGTGGGGTTATATCGGCAGCAGGCGATGGAGTGCCATGGAGATATGTTGGAAGCAGGGCAGGTGGTGACTACAGATGCACTTGTCTGCAAACAAATGCAGCAGAAACGATTTCAGCAGTAGATATTTTTTGAATGAAACACCTTTTCATTGAAATAGCAATAGTCAAAATTCCCACTTTCCTGGGGAAGTGTGGGAGAGGAAGGCGTTGTTAATTTCCCCCTCATTTTGTAAAACAAGATTCTATAGAACTGAATTTTTTTTTAAAAAGTATGTTTTGTTGTGCTTTCCCCAAGAAAGCTTGTTCCCATGTTGCTGCTCTGAAAGAGAAGTTAAGCTGGTGTTGAAGCTGTACAGCTCAATGCCTGCTCACGAGACTGGCTCTAGAAGAGTTCAGATGAAGAGCTGGGTGGGTGCATTGCTTTCTAATGCACTCATGAAAATTGCCTCATCCTAAAGCTGTAGAGCAGACCTGTCTTGCTGTGAAAGTCCTGTGTTCCTCAGAAGAGTTTTCCCCATTAGATGTTTCCCCTGGGATATTTGGAACTGATGCAATGTTGAGAATTAGCCATAAGGGGGCTGTTTTGCTTTTATAAATTGTGTGTGCTGGAGCCAGAAACGGCGTTTTTCAGATTGTTTATGTTCACTTGCTTCTTTTTCTTTCCTTGTTATTTTTTTTTTATGATGAGTTTATTTAAATCATTGCAATCCTGCTGGATAGCAATCAGGGAGAGCTCCTATTGTTGTCCCTGCTGGTCTTAAACCAAAGGCCTGTGAATATCTGTCTGTGTAACCAACTCGTTCCATGGCAGAAGTGGAGAGAGGGGCAATTGGGGATGAGATCTGTATCTCTATCTAAGGACATCTGGGACTGGAATGGGGAGAAAAGCCTGCATGAACATTGCCCTTAATGTCTTTTGGGGAGTCTCCCAAGCATCTGGATTGGCCCTTCACCCCTCTAAACAACTGCTGGAGTCCTAAAAAGAAGTGCATTATATCCAGAGATGGTGCTAAGAGGGTATCCTGAAGGTGGAAGTGGTCAGCTGGTGGTTGCCTCTATTGCTTTTTGAGCCAAAGGCTGTGAGCACATCAGAGCTCTTCCTCCTACCCCCCACCCCCTCAAAAAAAACCCCCAGCAAACAAAAAATGCTGGCAGTGTTTGCTTCCTATGAGCAGAAAACCACCCAAGGACCCCACCCCTCTGCTCCCAGCTGAGGCACGTGAGGTCATCTGGGGGCCGAGCCAAATGCTGTGCCCAGCACACTTATCACTACTAAGGGAGATCTTCCAGATGTTTGGGTCCTCCAGATGTTCAGGAGCGTTTCCTCCGGATGGGGATGTGAGCTCAAGGCTCGTTTCCTGCTCTGGCTCACAGCTGACAGCATGGGCTTGGCAGACACTGCTGCTCCCTTACACTGCCAGGAGCCTAGTCCTTGTCACAGCCCGGTGGCAGCACTGGTGTGGGCAAGAAGGGGAGGGAAGGAGTCTCTTGGAAACACTCCTCTCTCTTAAAAGAGCGTGCCCTGTGAGTTGCCCAAGTCTTTTTCTGCTCAGACAGAAACTGGAAACCAGACATCCCAGCTTACTCTAGCTGCAGTGGCCGAGAGCAGGGAGGGGGGAACATCAAAGCACAAAGGGAGAAGTGAGGCAAAGACATGCTGGGATCTGGGGAGGGGAGGGGTGGGTGTGTGGCCAGGAAAATTTGGTTGCATTTGCCCTGGATTCACTTTGTGGTTCCCATCCTCCCTGGAGGAGGGGGGAAGATCTTGCCAAACAGTGCCCCTTCCCACAAGGAGGTTCAGGCAGAGGCAGAAGGTCTGGTGAGGTGCCCGGGGCTCACCCGTCACTCCAAAGCTTATTCCCTTCAGCAGATGTGCAGATGCTTTGCTGAGCCAGGCCCAGGCCTCTGAGACCTGTGCAGCCTTTTGCTTTTCTCTGTGGGCACTAGCAGAGTCATTCCAAAATGTGAGGAAATTGAGAAAATGGAAACAGCCCCGATGGTTCTGATGGTGAATGGGTGCTAATGAGTGTCCTCTTCTGGTTTCAGCTGACTGGACCGTGTCTTGGAGAGGTTCCCACTGTGCAGTGCACAAGGACAGAGGTGAAGCAAAGGAAGAAGCAAACGGATTCAGAGGAGGAATATGGGGGAGGGGGAGAGGAGGAGGAGGAAGAGGACAGGGTGAGCATGAGCCCTCCAAGGACTATCTCACACTTCACCCAAGCCTGCGGCAAACAACATTTTTTCTTTTTTATCCCCATCCCTTCATCCTTTGGCGTCCTCCCACCCCGGCAACTGTACAAAGCCACAGATTGAATCACAGTAAATTATTATTTGATGGTCTCGACAAATCATCTTGATGGCTGTGTTCTCCTTCCAGAGGGTGCTGCTGCTGGTGCTCCTGAAGGATTGCTGATGGGATGGCAGGGAGGAAAAGGTGCTGATATTTGCTCTCCGCAGACCAAGGTCATGCTGTAGATCATGAAGGTGATTGGGGTGGGAAAGACAAGCTGCCTTTCAGGGCAAGACAGCTTGTCTTTGTCTCCAGCAAGTTGTTGTCATGGTCCCGTCACCTCCAGCCCACCTGAAACTCTGCTGGCTCCAAGTTTTGGTAGGATGGAAGAATCCAACCAGTCCAAGCCTGTCCTCTCCCTTGAGTGCCTTGCTTTCAGCCTAGTTCTTGTGTGATTTTTTTATGGCCTCAGATGCAGTGCCTGGAAGGAAAGAAGCAATGAGGAGGAGATCCAAAAGCCTGGTTCACTTCAGCTGGTGCCAGTTAGTTGCTTCTGTGACTTTTTTCCAGGCAGCTCTTTCTGGCACAAGACCTCCATAATGTGTTGCGCTCCAGAGGTAGAATTAGGCCTTTCTGGTCCCCTCCAGCACCTAGCTAGTGCTAACACCTGTATAGTACATACACCTCAGGCTGTTCTAGTCTGTTGGCAGTGTGTAAAAGTATGCAAATCCTCATCTGCCCCATGCGTGGCTTCATTACTGGTGAGCACGTAGAGAAGGGCTTTCGTGCACTGCAGATAGCTGTCTGGCCGCTCAGCAACTAAGACTAAAGGATTCAGGCTTCCAGTCTTGGGTTTAGAGTAGGTAAGAGTGTTTTGGATAAGGGCTAATGTGTTGGGAACCCCATCTTTTCTCACCTCTGCTCCTTTGTGATTTTTGCCTGAGCTCTGACCTGTGTGCTTTTCACTCGCAGACCCAAGATGACGCACCGTGCTCAGTACTGCGGATGGCTCAGTACTCGCTGCCTTTCCCTCTCCCAAGCTATTGCACATGCTAATTTAGCTGGCATCCAGAATAAAGAGCACCAAAGGGGGAAGGTGATCCAGCTGAGTGTGGCAGAGAGCTGTTCTGCATGGGCTAGCCCAGGCCTGAAGAGGTGCTGGCTTTGGCAGCCAAGGCCGGTCAGGGTTGGGAGTGGCGAGGGTGGTGTGTGAGTCACATGCTTCATATGGCAAAACTGGTACAGAAACCCTGGTCACCCTCACCACAGCCCACCCAGGGGTTCCCAGCATCCATGTGAGTAGCCTCCATCCCACTCCTCATCCTCCCTCATGCCAGGCAGCAGCAGAATTAAAGCAGCAGAAATTCAACTCCTGCACTGCTTGGAGGTGCTGCCTTTGCTTTTGGCCTGGGCAAGAGAGGACTTGTGCTAATGGCTTGGGTTTTTGTACATGCCTGCTCCCGAACTGCTGTGGGGCACAGCCCCCACCCTGGCTGCAGCTGCCTGGCACCCTGTTCCCATAGGAGAAGGACTGATACCAGCTAGAGTGGGAGAAGTTGCCCAAGGGAAGAGCTGCCCTGCCTTTAGCTGGGTGTGCTGTTTGCAGCAGCGCCTGTCCCTGTGCTGTAGGAGTGCTAAAGTTGCTGAGTCTGGTATTACGTGGTGGGACTGGACCAGAGGCTCCCAGAAAACCTCCCAACCTAAGTTGTTTCAAGTGTGAAGCCTGGAAGAATGGTGTTTGTTCCTAAGTTGGCAACTTGTGTGCAGCATGGGGCAGAGGGCAGGGATAATTTGTCCTTCTAGAAGATGACTAAAAGCCTTAACAGTTAGTGGGGTGGGTTGACATGGGAGCCCTCGCTTGGTGGTGTTTCTGCACTAGGAACCTAGTGCTCTTTATCTGCGATAGAATTTCTCCCATCCTTCACCAGGCCCTTGGTGAATGATGGGTTAGCTGTATCTGGAGGCCTGCAGACAAGAATTAACACTATGTCTGGGGCTTTCTCAATGACTGGACTCTGGATGGCTCTAACCACGGAGAGTATTCTCTCATTTCTGGTTGGGAGCCAAGTGCCACAGTGAAGGACTGGGAGCTGTGGTTAAGCAGCTCCCCTGGGGAGCTCCTGGGAGCACTAGGAATGAGGTGTCTTTGCAGGGCAGGCACCAGCTGCAGTCACAAGAAACTGGCACGTCTTTGTGAGGGTGTGCTAGTGACACTGGCCAGAATGCAAACTACTTCAGCAGCTTGGTCGGGAGCAGGAAGCCGAAGTGGGAGCATCTCCCTTTCAGAATGGTTTCTGAACTCCTCAGAGTAAGGTTTTCCAGCTTGTTCAGGAAAGCTCCATGTCTGGTCAAGTCACATATGTTATCATAGCTTGTTTGAGCACCTGCTAGTTGCAAAATACTGTTGCTTCCTTGGACCACTCTTCCTGGCTGTTGCACCAAGAGGTGCTGAAAATGAGCTGTTTCATCCACAGGTCAGCATTCAGTGTCACCATCAGGCATCAGACAGGCTTTTCTTCCCAGCAGAAGAATTCAGTTGAAACTTCACAGCTTTCTTCTGTTGTACACTTCAAGTGATTTCAGATATTGACAGTTTGTTCTGGTGTAGCTGGTTGTAGTCCTGTTTTATGTATAGCTAAAGCAGACCTAGATGTGCTAGGAAACACGGGGCTTCTGCAAATGGCCCCAAGAGTTCTTCAGCAGCCAAGGTCTCCCTTCACCTTGGTGCAGGTGGTAGGACAGTGCTATGACAGGACAGCATTTCAGAAATCCAGTGGTCAGGTAAGAGGTAGAACTGGAGACAGCAAGCATCTGAGGAGGACCTAGCTGATGAGTAACATTCTGAATCTGGCAGTTCACAGACCAGTCTTTGCAGCCTTGTGGATTGCACCCAACAGAAGCAGGGCAGCCAGGACCCTTTTTCAAACAGTGCTGGTCAGTAACATGACCATCTCAGGAGCTGGTTAGCCTTTTGCGTTAATTGGAAGATCACAAGAAACTCCAGGAGATAGTTTGGGAGCAAAAAGGTGCTAAAAGCTGGAGATAGTTTGGGAGCAAAAAGGTGCTAAAAGCTTGACACCACAGCTCTTCTCTGGAAATCATGTTTTAATTGTGTATTAATGTAGTGCTGCATCTTTGTTTCCAGAAGGAGAATCATGACAGATCTTCAATATGCAGTAAGATACATCAGCTGTGATCTGATCTGATCTTTTCTGTAGGCAAAAAACAGATTGTATCACTTCTCTCAGGTGGAGCTGTTCCTCTGGATTTGGCTTTTTCACTTGTTACCTTGGTGCTGGTAATTTGGGTACAGGACAGCAACTTGCTGGCCATGACAGGCAGAACGTCAGTATATGAGCTCATGATGTATTGTCTGCTTGCTAGCTGAACTTCTCAAGTCTGAAAGTAATGTCAGAATTTCAGTTTCACTGGAGTGAATGTAGGCCTGGAGAAGGAATTGTGGGGTTTGGAGTTGGTTTTTCCCATAGTTTTTTAAGGCACATTTGTTCTAGAAGTACATGGACTGGAATATGCAATTTTCGGACGCTGCAGTCATTTCCCTTATGACAAGGAGTTTGTTGCCTGTCTCAACTCCGCTTCTGTGGCACAAGCTTAGGTGAGCAGAATGTACAATTATTCTGAAGGGCTGATCCTGTTGCATAGCTAGAAGCTGCAGGAGTCCACAGAGGAAAGCTTTTTGCTGTATTTGACACATCAGCTCACGTTTGGCTGTTGTGACCTCTTCAGCTGGTCATGGCAAGGCTGAACTAAAGTTGGTGTTGTGCTCCAGCAAGTGTGAGCACCACTTCTGAGAAGGCTTCAGTCATCCTACTGATTATCTGTTGACACTGCATCTCCTGTGATGAAGGAGAGCACCTTTGAACCTGTACTTAAATGACAGAATAGCTGATGAGGTCTGTTCTAGTCTGGTCAGGTACACATGTCTCAGGATGTATAATGTATGTTTTTCTCTCACATTGTTCAAGAGCCTCACACCCTATTACAGGGGGGTTGGGGCTCTAGAGACATCACAGCTGAGTCAACTGAGGTAATTGCTTACAAGTCCTTAAAGATGCTGATTAAATGCTGGAACAGATCTCATGCCTTTTGGTCTCTCAGGGCTTCCACAGAAGCATTTTCCTAAGCCAGCAGAGTTGGTGACGCCAAAACAGATGAGCACATGGTGCTTGCTGAAGGCTTTGGCAAGCACCTTGGTTGAGTTTTCAGGAGCTGGCAGCAATGGCTCATTGCTGGAATGAGACCTGAGATGTGATGGTAGTGGCAAGGGTAGCTGAATGAAAGGCTTGAGTTTTATGGAGAAGCATTGGCTAAATGCTGGCCTCATCCTCCTCACCTGCAGTCTGGTTGGGTAAAGAGGAGCAGACCAGGTTTCCCTTCTGGACTACAGCCACTGCTGCAGACCTTTTCAGCCTAAGTGGTACTTCCAAATGGCACTTTTTGCCTCCACCAGGAGCCATAAAGGTAAGCAAAGCCACTCCAAGAACCAGATTCCCCAGGCAACTGCCTGCCTGAGGTTATCTAAGTCTGTCTGCAGGCTTAGGTATCCCAGGGGCTGGGCGCTGATGTGGAGCCAGGCTGTGGCCTCCAGGGCACCAGAGTGGCTCAGGCTCTTAATGGGATAGTTGGAAGCAGGGGCTTGTGGTGTTGCACCCTGTCTATCCACAGGTACCTCTAAGGGACCTCATACCACTTTTGGACCAAGATGGAAGTTTCTTAGTTTACCTTTCTTTGTGTCTTAGGAGGAGCCTGTTTTCCTATGTGGAAGAATAGGGCTCAATAAGCCAGGCTTTGGTGACTTCAGTCCCTTAGATTCATGTCTTTGTGTGTACCTTCAAAGCCATCTCCATCACCATCTTGGGCTCATTTGTAACTGCTGCCAGTGAGCGAGGATGCTTGTGGGATGAGACCACCTGCTGCGTCAACTACTGAGATACTATTTCACCTCTGGTTTGCTTGTCTCCTGCACTGTCTTGGTGTCCACATCCTTCTAGGTGAACAGGATCCTGGTGTATGCCCTGTGGGCTTCCTCAGCTGCTGAGGTTGTAGGACTGGGGAGATGGTTTGAGAAGGGGTCAGACCTGCCTCTTTCAATTGCCA